AAGAACCAAGATACATCATGTAAAGGTACAAGATCCCAATGATGAATGTAACTGTATTGTATACCTAAAATGTACCAATAAACTTAATGGAAAATAAACTTAATGGAAAATAAAAGAATAAGACACATACAACTACAAATGCTGTATTTAATATAGAGAGACACTATCATGCTTACCTTATTCCAAGAACTTTATCTACTGAGTCAGTTGTAATTGAAGGAATGTTATAGTGAATTCAAGTTTAAAAAATTCTTCAGCTGGACATGGTATTACAGCCCTGTCATTGTAACACTGGGAGAACCTATCTCAAAAAAGAAAGAAAAAGGTCTGTGATTTAGCTCAATGGCACCACATCTGCTTTGCAAGTGCAAGGTCCTGAGTTCAGCCCCCAGTACCGGAAAAATAAAAAAGGGAAGAAAGAAAGAAATGCTTCCTATTTTTGTGTCTATCATATTTTTTTCTTTTCTTTCCGAACCAGGGATCGAACTCAGGACTTTGCACTTGTGAGTCAGGCACTCACTGTGCCACTGAGCTACATCCTCGGCCCTACCATATTTTTCTTTTACAGTAAACATTCTGAGTTTCCTCATTTTAATCAATAGTCAATATTCTATTTCAAATGGAAAATGCATGAGAAAGACTTACTTTCTAATATTTTTTGTTGCTGTTATTTCAGATCAAGACCTTGTGTGACTGAGGTTGTCAATCCATCCAGATTCTCCTCCAAAGTGAGATTTTTCCAAAGGACCAATGACTCTGTTTCCTGAGCCCTTGCAGTTCTTCCTACTCTGTAGCTATGTCTCGATCTCGCCACTCAAGGCCTTCCAGGTTAGTCAGGAAGGAAGACATAAACAAAAAGAAAAACAGCCAAGTGAAGAAGACCGCCAAGCCAGCCAACAAAAATGTGATATTGGTCAAGACTGCAAGCCCTGGGAAGCTAAAGCAATTAATTCAAGAAAGAGATGGTAAGAAGAAAACAGAAGCCAAACCTCCGATGCCAACCAGAAGCCTTTTGACCCGAGCTGGAGCAGCCCGCATGAATCTGGATCGGACTGAGGTTCTGTTCCAGAACCCAGAGTCCCTAACTTGCAATGGCTTTACCATGGCTCTCCGCAGCACCTCTCTTAGCAGGCGGCTCTCCCAGCCCCCTGTGGTCACAGCCAAACCCAAGAAAGTCCCACCTTCCAAGAGTTCAGGAAGGCAGCGTGAGTGTGAGTGTAAAGTACTCACTAACACAGGAGTCAAGCATTCGGAAAATGACCCAGTCCCAAATCCAGCCCCTCCAGCCCCCCTTGATACAGAGAATCTAATCGGTGTACAAAATGTGTCTTTAGTTAAAGGTGAGAGTCCAGAGACAACCCAGGCTTGGTCTCAAACAGTAGAGGAGTCCAAAATCCATTTTCCCACACCCAATGCCCCACCAGGCGAGATCCTGTCTGGGCCACCGGAAAGGTCACATTGTGGTGAAAGACTTCTCTCTGAATGGATACCAAATGACACCCCTGAGTCCCCAAGCATGTTTGCTCAGGACACCCTGTGTGCACCTTTGTCCCAAAGAGCAGCCACCGAAGTTACCTCTCACAGAAACCCCAATGTTCAGTTAGAAGACTTGGGGTCACGAGTACAGTCTCTGAAGCTGATCGATTCTAGCCTGGATCCTGTTCAAAGTGAACAGAATAGCTGCCCGCCATCTGCTTTTAATCAGGGTGCATTTGAACAGGACCTTAGAAGCTGCTTGTCCATCTACCCTTCAGCCCTAATAAAGTTCCTCCTGGCAGGCTCAGAGCCACAAACCTTTGGTGCTCAACCACATCCCCAAGAGGCCCTCAAAGCCACCCCAGTTCAAGAGGGAGCTCCTGACCCCACCTCTGTCCTGGGACTCGCCTTCAGGGATATCCCACATCAGTGGGAATTTCTGGGTGCTAACCCAGTTCCTGGGGTGGCCCCAGGCCCCCCACAGATTCCTGGTGCTACTTCAGTCCAAAGAGAGGTCTTTGGAGCTATCCTCAACCAACAAGAATCCCTCAGCACTGGTGCTTGTGCTGCCCCAGACCTGGCTGCCTTCCTTCCCCTGATCCCAAATGCAATCGCTGTGTATAATGCTCTCCCGAAATGGTCTGAGCCTGGGAGTGCTGTTGCCAATGGCTTTGAGGTGCAGGATGCTGTGCCAATCTTGCCCTTGGGCCTGGGACATGCTCCTCAGCCTTCATCGGGCTCAGAGTTGAGCTCAGCACCTCTGGTAATAGCTGCAAGCAATGCTGAGACAAAGGAGCAAGTTCATGTGGGCCTTCAGGCAGCCACCACATCGAGTGTCACTGTGGCCCCCGCGAGAGGACTTCTCCATGCCCCGCCGGGCGCTGTCCAGCTCTCCCAGACCGGTTCTGGTGCCATGGAAAATCAGAGTCCCCAGGTCAGCGTGAGCAGCTCGGCTGATGTCAGCCCCACAGGGGTGTCCATGCCAGTATCCCTTGCCAGTGCTGCCACCTCCTCTTCCTATACCACCCTCCTGCCCACTTTGGAAAAGAAGAAGCGGAAGCGCTGTGGGGTCTGCGGGCCCTGCCAGCAGAAGACCAACTGTGGTGAATGCACTTACTGCAAGAACAGAAAGAACAGCCATCAGATCTGCAAGAAGAGGAAGTGTGAGGAGTTGAAGAAGAAGCCATCAGTCCTGGTGCCTTTGGAGGTGAGTCCCAATGGCTGGGGACTCCCGAGAGCTTGCTAGGGTGGGGCTTGCAGAGGCTGGGCTCCTCTGTGTTGGTAACACGCTGTTGCTTTAGCTGTAGGAATCTGGGTCTGCCCAAGGCCTTGTGCAGTGATGGCTTGGCTTTCTTTTAGAGTTTGTCCCAGAAAATGAGAACATACAGCTTTTCCATTCTAGGATTTGATAGAGACATAGGGAAATCGTATTTCCACTGTGCCTCCTTTTGGCTAGTTGCTTGTCTTTTGCGTGTGTGTGTGGGGGGGGAATATGGATTTAAAATTTAAGGGTTGAACAAATCAATTAACTCCCTTAAAACCTGGTGATGGTAGGGAAACCTGGAAAAAAATCCAGACAACCTAAAACTTCTTTTGAAAGAGTAAAATTGTCTGCACCCTCAGTCTTGAGACTTTGCCTTGATGCATGCCAGTGATACAGTTTCATCTCAACTTTCCCTGGGTGATTTGTACCTGTTGTGTACATTTCATGGGGCTTCTGGGAGCTAAATGAAAATGCCTTGTAAATGCCAGTGGGCTGTACACATCAGTTCTTATATCATTTATGAACAAAAGTTAGTAAAGGTATTGATTGATATAGAGTTTATTTGAAAGATTTTATGGAACTTGGTTAAAACTCAAAGTGCTACATATCAGACTTTTAAAACATTTGTCGATTGTGTTATGATTTTTACTATCTATCTATTTACTTATTTTATTTTTTGGTACTAGGGATCAAACTCATGACCATGGGCTTAGAAGGCAGGCTCGGTGCCACTGAGCTAAATCCCCAGACCTATCTATCTATTCTTGCAACAGGATCTCAATATGTAGTTCAGGCTTGAACTCACTACAAAGCCCAGGTTGGGCTTGAACTCCTGGTGATCCTTCCTGCCTCAGCCACCCAAGTGCTGGGATTCTAGGTATGCACTGCCACACCCAGCTAGTGTTTTATGATTTCAGAATTTTTAGAACAGATGAAATTATGTTTACCTTATCTACTATGAATACATGTATTGTAGAATGGGTTGCTTAAAAAGTATTACGGCTCTCATAGTGGCACTTTCCTGTCATCCTTGCTACTTGGAGGCCAAGGCAGGAGGATTACAAGTTTGAAGCCAACTGGGCAATTAGTGAGATTCTAACACAGAATAAAAAAGGTTGAGGGTGTAGCTCAGTGCAAGAGTCCCTGGATCCTGGGGGGCGGATATTGTGAACTTTAATTCAATCAACCTTTTCTATTTCTCACTCGACTTAAATTATTGGTCCAAAAACATGCTGATTTCTTGTTTGATTTGCAAACAAGCCATCAGATGTTAACCAATCCCGTACTTATGAGCATTTAAAGGGTTTCTAAAAATACGTGATTACAAGTCTTACTGCAAGGAGTAATCCTCCTCTACCACATCACTTCCCTCACTGGGGAGCGGAACACTTGTGGCCCATTACAGAACCCTTACAAATACCCGAGACACTTGGCAGCAGTAGCTTTGGAGGCCTCCCTCGAACACTGCTGACTTGTAGCCTTTCTGACTGACATCATTAGCAGAACCCTGGATCCACTGGGGTGCAAACACTCTTGTTCTCTTCTTTCCCAAACCTGCTTACCCCCTTACATTACTTGTTAGGGTCAAGGCCTTTGCACATATGTGGTCACCCCAAATAGTAAAGTCAGTTGCTTTCTCAGTCAGTTATATTCCCATGGCTACAAGATCTGAGCAGGCCTACATCTCCCCTTGGCCAGTGCTCTAGATGAGGCCTTTATCTATTGTTGAGAAAATTTCAGTGTTCAGTTTATTACCAACAGGTTTGTTTTTGTTTTTGTTTTGTGCCAAGCACAAGGGCCTGAGTTCGATCCCCGGTACCAACTCAGGACCTTATGCTTTCGAGGCAGGCACAGTGCCACTGAGTTAAATCCCCAGCCCACCAACAGGTTTTTCGAGACAGGGTATCAATCACTATGTTCACTGTGTAGCCCGGGCTGGCCTCAAACTCACAGCAATCCTCCTCCCTCAGCCTCCTGAGTACTGGGATTATAGGCATATGTACAGCACCATGCCTGGCCAAATTTTTGGGTTTTTTTGAGAGAGGATCTCACTAAGTTGCCCAGGCTAGGCTTAATCTTGCAATCTTCCTGTCTCAGCTTCCCAGCTGCCACCATGCCCAGCTTTCATCATTTCTTCTAACTATTTTTTAAAATTTTTTTGGTATCAGGGATTGAACTCAGGACCTTGTGCTTGGCAGGCAGGTGTGGTGCCACTGAGCTAAATCCCCAGCCCTTTTTGTAACTATAAATTAGCTTTAAATGCTAAGGAGAAGATGTTCTTATTTACTTACTCATTTATCTCTCAATATGAACTCATGAAGTTTTATTATATTCAATGGATTATAATCCTATTTTAGCATTATTTTGTTTGGAGGGGAAAGCGATAGATAGGGTTGGAACCCAAGGCCTTTCAAATGCGAAGCATGAACTATACCAGCACTCTTGTTATTTAGTTTAATGCTCTAATTATCTCAAATTTGGCAGGGAAGGAACTTCAACTTTTTGTTTTTTTCCTTTCTGGAATGGAGATTGAGCTCCAGGAGCACCAAGCTACATCCCAGCCACCCCCTCCTTAAGCTGCCACATCTGGCTTCAACCATTCCCTGAGTAATTTTCTGGCACAAGTGTTCTTTCTGTTGAAAGTGTTTGTGTACTTCCTGTACTGTCCCAGACCTGAGTCTGCCGTTTATCCGGGGAGAGTTGGTTTTTTCAAGTGTTGAACAGTGGTTGGAAGCACTGTCTTGATGATAGGCATGATGATTGTCACTGCCATGTCCTTGTTGTGTTCAAAGTTATTTGTGTTGTTGTGCTCAAAGTTACTTGTTCTTGCTCTCTCTTCATTTTCTCTCCCTCCTTCTTATCCCCCCACCTCATCCCTCAAGAGATCCTAAAGCATGTATTCGGCTGTCACTGTCCTGGACTCAGGAGGTGGACAGACCACCCTCCTGGCAGCGCCTGGACAGGTGGGGGTGGGGAGGATGATCTCTGAAGGAAGTGCATTCTGGGAAAGCAAGGACCAACTCTATAATCCCTTGTTTTGGTGCTTTGTTGTTATTTGGGCTTAATATTCTCCTTGTGAGATCAATAATGTTTATAGTTATCCATCATCATTGAAGTATAATATTCCACTATATGTATATATCACAGTATATTTATTCTTTATTTAAAGGATTTTTAAAAGTATTTATTTATTTATTTATTTGGTACCGGGGATGGAAATCAGGACCTTGCACTTGCCAGGCAAGCTCTCCGCCACTGAGCTACATCCCCAACTCTTTTTATTTTATTTTGAGACAAGAACTCCCTAAATTGCCCAGGCTGCCTCTAAATCTCATTCTCTGAGTAGCCAGCAATATAGGCTGGTGTGCCATACTTGGGCCTGTCCACCTTACAGTGGTTTAGGAATTTGCTTTTGGCTACTGCATTCTTCATGTGTATTTGTAATTTTTTTTTGGTACCAGGGATCAAACTCGGGTCCTTGCACTTGCGCAGCAGGCAGTGAAACCACTGAGCTAAATCCCTGGCCCATGTATTTGTAATTTTGAGACATATACTCTACCTATTTTTTGTTTTGGTTTTGTTGTTTGTTTGTTTGGGTTTTTTGGTACGGGGGATTGAGTGTTGTTTGGTTTTTTGAGACAATGTCTCACTTTGTAGTTCAAGCTGGCCTTGAACTCACTATGTGGCCTAGCCTGGCCTCAACTCAAAGCGATCCTCTTGCCTCAGTCTCCCTAGTGCTGGGATTACAGGTATGCACTACCACACCTGGCTTCTACCTTATTTTTATTTTTATTTTTTAGAAATTCAGAATAGTATCAATACCTATTTTGAGAACGTGTATTCTTTTATTTATTTATTTATCTATCTGTCTATCTATCTATTTATTTATTTATGTTTGGTACCAGGGATCGAACTCAGGTCCTTGAGCTTTCAGCACAGGCAGCGAAACCACTGAGCTAAATCCCTGGCCCTTCTACTGTATTTTTAAAACACTGATAGAAGTATATAAAAGAATAGGGTACAGGCTTTTTTAGACATAAAGATAAGGAACTTTTTCTACGCTACATTTTTCACCAGTAATATTTAGCTTGTAATAGTAAAAATTGTAAACTATGCTCTGACATAGGGTGTGCAGGGTGGGGTCTTGAATTATGTGTCTAAGCCAGAGGATTTTAGTATAGCATGTTGCATTTAATTAACATTAATTGAATGACTAGACGGAATAGTTTATGAGTTGATCTAGCCAAAGTGAAATAATTTCTTGTATTTATGATGGTTATGGTTTTCTGCCCAAAACATTAGAGGTTATTACATGTTTGGTTACCTTAAATAACAACATACTAGATACACCATAAAGTGTGCAGTGTTTATTAGCACACTACCTTTGTGTGCTTGCACTGCTGGGCCTCAAACCCAGGGCCTCACACATGTTCTACCAGTGAGCTATACCCCTAAGCCCCGCCCCCCCTTTTCTGGTACTGGGGATCGAACTCAGGACCTTGCGCTTGCAAGCTAGGCAGCGGCACCACTGAGCTAAATCCCTGCCCTCAAGTGTTTTTTTTCTTTTCCTATCTTCTTAATTCATGGAAATTCCACCTGGAAAAATAGTGTTAATAAGCAGGTCGTATTTGAACATCTGAACATTAAGAAGTGTTAAGTGATGCTAGTTGAATCACTGCCTCCTGCTCTCTCGGGAGCAGTACAGCTCTGGAGCTGTCCTTTGACATTGATAACAAGCTCGTTTTATTCATTTTACCCTTTTCTCTGGGAGTTGGGGGTGAGCCTTGCCTCCTTTGGCTTCTGCTACCTCAGTGTTTTCAAGTAGCCGGGTCTCACTGAGGCATGTGTGGCGTGTGGAATAAGTTTTGCTACCAACACCTGCGATTGCAGGAAGATGTTAGGAGTCCTTAACTGCCTCTAAGGAATCTCCTTGTGTCACTGCT